TAAAGCCCGTAGTATTATTTTGTGCCTGTGGACACTTTAGGAACTATTTGTGATTTGTGATAAATATAAGAAGGAAAGATAGTCCAATGCTTGTGGAAGATATTTTAACATTTTTTATAAAAACGACTCCCCTCAACATAAATAGCATTAGAGTTTCTTTCCTTTTTTTTTTTTTATTCATGAGAGACAGAGGGAGAGAGAGAGGGAGAGAGAGAGAGAGAGAGAAGCAGAGGGAGAAGCAGGCTCCCAAGGAGCAGGGAGCCCGATGCGGGACTTGATCCCAGGACCCCGGGACCATGACCTGAGCTGAAGGCAGACGCTTAACCATCTGAGCCACCCAGGCGCCCTAGAGTTTCTTTTCAAGTTGCTATATTACAACTACATTAATTTTACATTACTACATTAGTAATTTTACCATTACTATATTACCTTTACCATTAATTTAAACTCTGCCTCTGAAATATGTTTAAGGAAAGCTACTTGCTAGTTCTGCTAAGGCAGATGATAAGTAAAGATACTATTTATGATACCAGCTTTCAGATGAAATAGGAGATGATAGGGATAAGGAGAGTTAAAACTGGGCTTAAGAGGAAAGACACTAAGGATGGAATAAAAACCTGTGGGAAATCCAGAGATGAAACTAGGAGCTCTCCCTACTCTTGGCTCCGTGTGAGAACCCGATAGCGCTGCAGCCTGCCGAGCTGAGGGCCACAGAGCGGGGCTGGAGGGTGCAAGCCTGGCTGGCTCCTTGTTTTTCTTCTCCTTGTAGCGTGTCCTCTGCAGCTGGCAAACAGGACTGACTGAAAGGAGGGGCAGAAGCTGCAGCTTGGTAGGGGTCCAGGTACCAGAGTGGTTAACCCAGCCAAGCAAAGAGAGTGAGCTTGTAGGAATAAAACATTCTCTTGCAGGACACAGAATCTAATTTTCTGGGAACTGTCTGTTAGGACAGGTCGGCTGTGGCAATGGTGTAAGACATAATTATTTATTTTTTAAAAATAAAGATTACCTTTTCCCCGCTGAAATTTGCATGCTCTTACGAGAGATGGAAGTTCTAGTTTTTTTAAAAATGTGTGCATTTTTAAGGCAAAAAAAGAAGAGCTTGAAAGAATAGGGCTAAATCTGTCACCTTCCCAGGAGCCTAAACTCCCCAAGTTCTGACATCAGTGGACTGGCCACTTAATTGTAGGCAGGCAGGAACCCCTCTTGAGCACTGAATCAACATCTTCCTATTCTACCTTACTCTCCAAAGAATGCTAGAATCATACATCCAGGACAGAGTTGACTATTTGGTGGCACACTTTTGAGATTTTAAAAATTCTTAAGTTTTTGAAATCCTATACATCAAAGAATACAAAAGAAAATGAATAGTATTTGCCTTCTCATGTTTCTTTTTCCTTTTTCATGACCAACATCAAAAAAATCCTTTCGGCCTATTTCTAAGCATGACAAATCAGGAGCGTTCCAAATGAGGAGAAATAAGACATTTAAATGTAAGCCAATTAAAAATTCAGCATTTATATGCAAATGAGTATAAATTTATATTTATACATTTTATTTATGTTTTAGTTACATATTACGTTTGTTAATGGAAACTGTCTATGTGGTGAATGTTGCCAAAGAACATCCATTTTTAGGATTACCATGAGGAAAATGGATTTACATTTTATTTGCATGTGAGAACAGTTTTATTATTTTCACTTTCAATGAAATGTTAGACTCTGAAAATCCAATAAAGGTAAAACATTTTTATTTTGGTAATATTACATATTAAGATATTTGTTTATTTGGGGCCGAAAATTTAGTATAATTAATATGAATATTGATTGAAAGAGCCTGACTTTATAAACGAACAAAGATGCATATTCATGTTGGTTTCTCATATGGCTTAAATATTGTCTTTTTAATACTGCACACATGTATAGCATGCTATATATATATTTTTTAATGTCAGTAATTGATTGGATTCTGCACCTGAGACTTTTCTTACCATAAGGCCCAAATGAGGGAGATAAAGTTATAAGACTAAGGAGCCCCAATGGGAAAGGAGGTAGAAAATATTATCTCACATTCAGCTAATTCAGACCCTTCCTCATAACTAACTCTTTGTTTTTTAGGTCTTTGGGAAATTTATGAAAACATACACTTAAATCCTTCATAATCTATGAATACAATATTCTTTATTTTCTACTTTGTTTTATAGAAAATCAAGGACGCACATTGAACAAAGTCCACAAATTCAACATCTGGGAAGCCATTATGGAGAAAGCATTATGACGTATTGTCTTCAGTTTTCGCTAAAAAGGACCAAAGAACTGATGACATTTACTCTTAGACCAAGTATTCCTTTAAAGACATGAGTATAATTCATTTGCCAAGAGACATGTATTAAAACATATATCTACTTACTCTTTTTTTCTCTTTCTAAACTGAACTGACTATGGAAGCAGTTCCAAAAATATTTAAGAAATGGGTGTGGTGTGGGGCACCTGGGTGGCTCATTTGGTTAAGTGTCCTCTTGATTTCAGCTCAGGTCATGATCTCCGGGTTCTGCGATGGAGCCCTGCCTCAGGCTCTGGCTGAGTATGGAGCCTGTTTGGGATTCTCTTCTCTCCTTCTCCCTCTGCCCCTGCCCCAACACTGCCCCCCCGCCCCCACACCACTTGTAGTGTGGGTATGGCTTTTTATTGAAAACATAACTTTCTCATCTAAGTGTTGGTACTTGTTCATTTTCTTTATCTCAACTAATAGTAACCTCTTCCTATAGTAACAGTCCCTTGCCTGTCACAGTCCGTTGTCAACTCTAGCTATTACCATCTTCCCAATAGACCAACTTCCCCGATGCGTCTCCTTCCTGGCCAGGTTGTGTTGCATTCATATGTCTTCCTGCCTTAAAGATGTTAGCCTTCCTTGTGGTGCTTGGGTGGTACAGAGAGTAGAGCCACCGATTCCTGGTTTTGGCTCAGATTGTGATCTCTGGGTCATGAGATGGAGTCCTGAGTTGGTCTCCATGCTCAGCTCGGAGTCTGCTTGGGACTCTCTCTCTCTCTCTGCTTCTCTGCCCCACCCCCCTCCCCGCTCTCTCTCTCTCTCAAATAAATAAATAAATCTTAAAAAAAGAAAAAAGAAAAAAGATGTTAGCCCCCCTGGGTGGGGGTGGGGGGAGGATATTGAAAAATGGTGTTCCTGCCATGACTGCAGTAATTTCTTTCCCAACCACAAGGCCATTGCTGGGCACCGTGTCCACCCATCCACTGGAATCAGGAATAAATGTAGAAGAGCTCAGTTTGGTTCAGCAGACAGAGTTGTGGTAGGTGCTGGGGTGCAAAGTGAACGGATAATCTTTTTAGTCTCAAGTTGCTCATGCTTCAATAATCTGAAGCACATTATCCTTCAAATTATCCTTTAGCATTATCCCACCCACTGGGCTTGCTCCTCTCTTGTTCGTTATCTGTGCAAGCTCTCATACATCCTGGCCTTGCTTCATAATGTCTTCACTTTGTTCTTTAATCCTAGCAATCTTTCTTTTTAGTCGTGGCCAACACCCCATCCCCAAGTGTTTCGGAGTAGAGCCTACGATTTAACTCTCCAGAAAGGCTTTCTGAGCTAAGTAAAAGATGTTATAAATATTTAACTATTTTTATTTTTCTAAATTACTAGATCAGGAGCAGCAATAAAATAAAAGGTGGCCCCATAGTATCTGAAGTGTTAATCTGGGGGCAACAGGAGCCCCTTAGCTTCTTGATTAATTTTAAATTTCTATGTAATTGGTTGGTGATACATGTTTTTAGCTATTTTTTAAAAAATTCAAAACAATAGTCACATTTGAAAACAACTTTCAAATCACATTTGAAAACAAACAAAAACCTAATGGTTTGTGGCCGATTTGTACATCTTAAGAATTATTTTGGAGGAAATATTAAAACAGAGGCTTGGAAAGACCACAGAATGCTCATATTCTTGCCTAAATAAAAAAGTTAAAAGAGATTTTTCTTGCTCCTATCCTCAACAACAGCAAGAACTTATAGATTTAGATAGATTTCTAAGAAAGTGGGACAGTCAGATCTGTGAAAATAGAAATAAAGAACATGGAAAATGTTGCAAAACTAAAGTATTTCTCTAGATCATTCAGATTATTTAAGACAATAATTTCATTTCTCAGAAACATGCATACTCTGACCTGGTTATCTCAGGAGACTCTCCCTCTTTCCCTTTGTTGAGATCAGGTAGGACTCCTCCCTACCCCCTTCCCACTACACTGCACGGTAGCTGTGCTTTCCAGAACCTAGAGAAAATAAACCCTGGTGGTTGAATAAATGACTGCTTTTAGCATCTCTGAAAGTAGCCTAAACCTTATCACTTCTAATTAAACAAACAAAATCCCCCCCCATTTCACTGATTCATAGTTTTTCTGTTCTTTCCTCCCCTCATTCTTGCTATAATACTATTACATCTATTGTTCATTTTAAACATGCAGTATTTCAACTACATTTAGATTAAATAAGCTTTTCACGATCTGGTCTTGAAACTTAACTACTGTCTATTGTAATATGTTATGAAGAAATATGTTTCAAGACTAACAAGTGATTCGCTATAATATAGGCTGTTTCATGCTGGAAAATGTTTCTAATAACAGATATTCATGTGTGGGGTTTTGTACTCAGGTTCAATAATTTATAGTTTCACCCAGAATGTTGCTTTTTAGGATCTTTTAAAACTTAGAACCCATATTGTTACCTAATTGGTAGTAAGCCACTTCATTTTCAACATATGAAGGATGTAGCTGTTAACTATGTAGCTTGTAAATCGATTCTGATTAGTCCATGATAATTGGTTGGATTCAATATTACCATGTCAGGCAAGTGGTCCGGTACTTTTGGTCTTTAAAAAAAATCCAACTTGGCTGGACTGCATGGCAACGGGCCTGCTAAATTTCAATCATGTTGGTTATACTGCGTCAGCATATCCTACTTTCCCAAAGCTACATCCTGACAACTCATTCACTATGGCTTTTTGCCCTCTAGCATCTTTTTCAGGGTGTCCTTTACTTCCGTGTTCCTCAGGGTATAGATCAAGGGGTTGAGCAGGGGAATTACAAGACTATAAAACACAGAGACCACTTTGTTGTACTTCCACGAATCCCCTGCTTTAGGTAGCTGCAGGTGCATGAAAAAGAGCGTCCCATAGAAGATGACGACCACGGTGAGGTGGGAGGCACAGGTGGAAACGGCTTTGCACTTGCCTTCGGAAGACTGGATTTTTAGAATGGAAAAGAGGATGCACATGTAGGAGATGAGGACCGTCAGGAGGGATCCAGTGAGAGTCACTGCTGAGAAGATCAAGAGCTGCTTTTCTTTGTTGCCAGTGTCAGAGCAGGAGAGGGCAAGGAGAGGGGGGTCAGCACAGTAGAAGTGGTGAATGATGTTGGAGTCACAGAAGGACAACTGGAACGTCAGAACTGTTTGTATTACAGAGTTTAGGAAGCCGTAGGTGTAGACCCCTATCACCAACTCCTTGCAGACCCGCTGAGTCATAATGGCTGCGTAGATCAGGGGGTTGCAGATAGCCAAGTAGCGGTCATAGGCCATTGTGGCCAAGAGGAAGCATTCGGTGGTGGCAAAAGCACTGGTGAAGTACAGCTGGGCAAAGCAGCCTGAAAAGGAGATGGTTTTTTTCTCAATAAATTTTGCAGCATCTTGGGCCCAATGGAAGATGAATAACAAACATCGATGAATGCCAGGTGGCTGAGGAAATAGTACATGGGGGTGTGAAGCTTCAAATCCACCTTGATGAGCAGGATCATGCCAAGGTTTCCTACCAAGGTGATGAGATAAATTACCAGAAACACCACAAAGAGGGGAAGCTGGAGCTCTGGATGGTCTGTGAATCCCATAAGGACAAATTCTGTCACTGTGGTCTGATTGCCTCTTGCCATTTTGTTCTCTCTCTTGTTGGAAAAAGAAGAAACATGGCTTCAAAATGATTAGACTTAAAAATACAAACTTCTTACCTCTTTGTTCCAGGACCAGATGACAGAAATTTGGCTTCCCAATCCCAACGGTAAAAGACTGTCGTTAGCCATGGGGCTTTATTCTGCCAAAACAGACTCAGAGAAGTCGGAGCCCGTTCATTCTCTCTTGTGATGGAAACTGACCAATTGACCTCCAAGTAAGTTGCGCTGGGTTACACGCCCAACAATACTGTATGAGAATGCTGGTTTTCCCACAAACCCAAAATCTTATCAAATTTTAAAACTTTGCTGTCATAATGGTGAATACTGGGCAACTCATGTTGTCTTGATTTTTAAAAATGATGAGTAGGGGTTATTAGCATTTTTTCAAACAATTATTCGCATGTGTATTTCTTTTTCATGACTGCTCAGTTCAGTCTCTTTGCTAATTTTCCTATCAGGTTGTTGGTCTTCTAAGCATTTTATTTACAGGGCCTCTTTGCTTATTAAGGAAATCAACCATTTGTTTGATACCTGTATTGCAAGTTATTTCTTAGTCTGTCACTCAGCATTGGTCTGGTATTTTTTTTCTTTGTGCTACACAGTAAATTTTAAAGGGTTTGGTGTCAACTTTATCAATCTTCTTTTTGAATTCTGATCCTTGTGACATAGTTAGATAAACTTTCCTTGATTTAAAATTATTTTTAAAATTATCTCTTGCTCTATTCTAGGTCTTTACCGGATTTCATTTTTACATTACAATCTTTGCTCTATCTGGAGTTTAATTTTGATATAAAGAATGAGGTAATCAACTCTTTTCACTTGTTTATCCAAATAGTTAACCAGGTGTTCTAAAGCCATTTGTTGGTGAAACAATTTTCCAGCTGATTTTGTTGATTTAAAACTCCAGCCTTATCATATAGTAAAACAGTCATAAGTACTTGGGTCAATTTCTGATTCATTTTCTTTGTAGTTTCCTTCTAGAACAAGGACCAAACATTTAAATACAGTACTATAGAATTGGTTTTAATATCTGGTAACAAAATTTCTGGCTATTTTCACATGTATATTTTCCAGATGAACTTTGACATTATCTTATCAAGTTCCAAAAAAATAAAAATCATCCTGTTTTCACTTAGAATGCTATTGCATTGAATTGGTATGTTAATTTGCTGAGAATTGACAGCTTTACAATCAAAACTTCTATAAGTAAAGTATGTATGTCATTTATCAATGACTTTCCTAAACAGAGTTTTAAAGTTTTCTTTAAACTTTACAGATAGGGGTGCCTGGGTGGCTCAGTCGGTTAAGCGTCTGCCTTCGGCTCAGGTTATGATCCCAGGGTCCTGGGATTGAGCCCCGCATCGGGCTCCCTGCTCAGTGGGAGTCTGCTTCTCCCTCTCCTCCCTGCTCATTCTCTCTCTTGCTATCTCTGACTCTCTTTCTTTCAAATAAATAAATAAATAAAATATTTTAAAAATATAAACTTTACAGATAAACATCCTATATATTTCTTTGAAGTCTATTTACAAGTGTTGTATCTTTTTATAACTACTGTAAAGGAAGCTTTTTTTTTCATTTTGTGGTTTATTTAAGGACTTTTTATATATAGAAAAGCTACTGATTTTTGTAAATTAATTTTATGATTATCTTCTTTACTATAGTTTCCTATCATTTAAAAATCGTTGTTAGTCGATTCTTTTGGGTTTTTCAAATACAGATTCATATACTATGAAAAGGATATGAACTTCTTCCCTCATTTCTGTATAGGATCTCTCATTCTTTTCTCTCTTCAACTTGTATTGGCTGGTCCTTCTTGATCAGCCGATACCCTTCACTGGGCACTGATCAGCATCAGAGCAGGGAGCCTGATGCGGGGCTTGATCCCAGGACCCTAGGATCAAATTTTTACCTTTCAACCTCTTAAAGTGTGCTCCAAAAGCACAAGGGGACTCTCAGGCATATAGACAGACAGAATAGCCTGTGCAATATAACTGATGTTTGAGAAAAACAAGGCTTTAAAGAACTGCACATATTTGGTGTAGTTAAAATACAAGCTCCCTAGAAGCAAGCCTGCCTTTGACACTGGCAGGGCCCAGGGCAAAAATAACAAATGCAGGCCTACATATCTATGCCTTAATAAATAAAAGTTAAAAGTAAAGATAACAAATTAATAAAATATGTTCTAGCTCTCTCCTCAACAAATGTACCTTTATAATAACCTGGAAGGCAGAATCCTTGGAGGTCCATGCTGGAATGAGGTAGCATGAGAACCTGCCTCTAACCCACATCTGTGGCTGGAACATGTATGCATCTTTTCACACCCCTGCAAAGAGCCATCCCTTGGCTTCTCTTAAGCCCTAAGTATGTGAACATTAGCATTGTGGTTTACCCTTGTAAGGGTGATCTGGGAGAGAGACTGTTGTAAACTCTGAGGGCCATCTGGGCGAGGAATTTTAGGGTCTTGGTACCTGGAAGATGGTCTAGAAGGGAAGGATAGGATGAATGGAGGTGGGGGGAGCATCTTTTGGCCTTATCCCATGGAGTGTGGTGCAGTAGGAAGAGGCCCAGAATTGCCCTGAAGAATGTGGCCAAGGCAGTGTCCCTTTTGTTTGGCTCTAAGGGTAGTACTGCCTACAAGTAAATGCACATCTGGGCTAGAAAATTGAGGGCCTCATCCATTTTGAGGAGTTTGGTCTGTATCCTATAGGGAGTAGGCAGCCTTTGGAATGTACAGGGATGGTCATAGAAAATGGAAAGAACCTCAAAAAGTGAAAGATGGATTCAAGGAGAACGTTTTAGTAAGGGATAGTTGAGCAAAGACTTGAGTCAGAGCAGCTCAGAGCATGTTTGGGGGACTGTGAGCATCCTTTCTGTTAAGAGCAAGCACATCTGAAAGAGATGAGTGAGAAACAAACTGGACGGCGGTGGGGGGCCGCTATATTGTGTAGAATTTCATATGTCAGGGAGATTTTAATAGCTAGATCAGTAGTGAATGTGGATCCATTAAACATCAGAGCAGTAGAATGACTTGACCAGAGTTAAGCTTTCAGGGAGTTACTCTGGGAGCATGTGCAGGGTGGATTGAAGGGAGGGAGAGAGCCATCAGTAGGCATACCGGCTAGGATGTTAGGATGGAGAGATACCCCAAAGGCAGAGTCTGTGTCACTTGGCAATGGACTGAGATCCAAGTTTTAAGTCTGAGAGACCAGGATAATGGTCACCTGAGAATTGGTAGTTCAATTAAATTTCACTTTGTCTCTTTCTCTTTCCTGAGGATCTGACACAATTTAAATACACACACACATACACACACAGACACACGCGCGCGCGCGCACGCACCCATAAAGTTGAGGACATAATGGGGGGAAGAAAAAGAAGCAGATTTCCCACTGTATTTATAACAAGTCACTGTGAGGTAGTGCTTTTAGTAGAAACAGAAAGTCTGGGCTAGGAGTGAAGTAAAAGTGAAGGGTGTTGAGTTCAGTCTGAGGGGATGGTGGGTGGCTACCGCATGGGCACAGCTAGCAATATTGATTTGGGAGCCTTTAATGGACAGAAGACGGTAAAAGCTGTGAGAATCCATGAGACCAAACAGGGACAGAGAAATAGGTAACAGCAAGGGTTCAAGGATAGATCTTTGGGAAAATTGTATCTTTAAGGTCTGGGGAGAGCAGTTGCCTGAGGTGCCCTGATATGTTCAGGCCTACTCATACCAGGAAATGGTAAGGATCCTTTTAAGTATGGGCCTTTCTAATACTCCCGGTTTATTTATGATAGACATGGCCTATTTTGCTGTGGTCTTATTTCTCTCAATAATAGCTTAAAGCAAAACCAAACTTTGAGAGCTTCAGGAGTTGTACATAAGCAATCTTACTCAGTAAAATGTTTGTTGTTCTGGATTCTGTGCCATCCAAAGGCAAGAAGACATGCTTTCGTATTTATTTCTAGAATGGGTCAAGGCCCCCTGCCTCCATTCAAAGTATAATGGTTCTCACTTTAACTGTGACGCAGAACAAGTTAGTAACTCTAGAAGGACCCAAAAAGCCAGTGGACTGACACTAACTGTATTTATCAGCTCTTCATGACAGAATATTTTTCCTATGTTAGCGATTATTTACATAACTGCACATTTGCCTATTCAGTTTCTAAGACATGGTTAATGCATTCTAATTTCTAGATTTTTAAAAATTTCTTTTTGAATAGCAGAATATTGATTCATCATTTATCCTATGGAAATGCTTTTTTTTGCATTCAAAAATCTTCTAATTGAATGCTCTTTCTTAGCAGTTTTCAACCCAGTATGTACTCTGATTTTCTTCATGGGCAATTAAGTTTGAGGCTTACTGATAATATTAATGTTTAGTCTATTAGTTCTTAGAATATAACTAGACCTGATGATAAATTCCAGGAAAAACAAAATAATAAATTTCTCATAATAAATATTTGACTTATAATTTTCTACCTAAGAGAAAACTTATGATCCCTTTAAAAGATAAAATACTGAGCATTCTGATTAATGACTCCCAAACTTAGTGATAATAACCAGTGATTATTTAAATACTTTTGATGTGCCAAGATTCATTCACTTTTATACATTATTTTATTTAATACATAATTATCATTTCCCCCATTTTCTTAACGAGAAAACTGAGACAGAAATATTCAGTAGTTTTTTCCCAATTCACAAAGTAGAGAAAGTAGATGAGCCAGGATTTGAAACCAGGTAGGATGATTCTAGAGTCCTCAGCCTAAACTATACTGCCTCCCCATTATGATTCCTTTATGATATGATTTATGTATATATATTAATATCCATTTATTTGTAAATTTAGATTCCTATGAGAAAAATT